TATGCAATTAAGAAAGAAAAAAAATTTAGCAATAATAAAAAATAAAGCGCCACAACAAGTCAACACAGTAAACACGTCATAAACTACCTTAAAATATGTTCACAAACACCATATAAAATCACTATTACCCGAAGAAGAAGAAGAAGAAAAACAAGAAGAAGAAGAAAGAGGAAAAAGTCTGAAGTTGTTTAAATAGTGGGTACAAGTTAAAAAAAAATTAAAAAAGTGAGTACAACTTAAATAGGGGCGACCTGTACAATTTTTACAATTTTATTAGCATAAATAACTCTCCTCCAAAGAGGACATTAAGCTAAAAGATTTTAATACAATGCTACACCAGTTCTTACCGCAAATTATTAAATGTGTAATATATATTTATAAGGACTATTTTCTATGCTTTTTAAGACGATGTTCCGTTAAGGCAATATTGCAGATACGCTATCACTAGTGACGAAGCTTCAAGCCCTGTGGGTTTGGGCTGGGATTGGGGGTATAAAGGAGCAAGTATGTAGATGTAACAATGGGGAATTACTGAAGCAGCAGCCAAAAGGAGGAAACTCAACACTATCTAATCTATGAAGATGGTCGACTGTTGATCATTTGCTAGTTTACCCTGCCCTAAACTCTATTATAAAAAAAAGGCGAAATACATAAAGCGCCTCCTTAAGTTGTCCCCAACGATTATTTGAACACCTTAACTTGGCATATGACTAGACAGACACCTTTGCTTGGAAGAACTGTATCTCTTAAACCCCTCGCACTGACATTAGCAAAATTTGTGTGTTACACTCATATCTGAGCGCGTGAATCTCTTTAAAATTAGCTATCTTTTTTTTTCTCTCTAAAATCAATATGGACCCCACCTAATTCATACCTCTTTCTTCTCCGATTTTCCTCCAACATCCTCTGCCAACAACTGATAAGGAACTTGCAAATTAAACTACAAAATTGAGGTCCCTACATTCTTAGACAAGGCCACAGAGGTCCTCAAGCAGATGCTCCGCCTCCAGGTCGACCGGGTCATCTCCGCCACCAGTTCCGACGACTGCGACGACTCTTTCATTAGCTTACTCAGATCCATCATCAAATTCCTTCACCACCTCGTTTCCCAGAGCAAGCCTCTCCGGACCCGACCCGATCTCAAAACTTGACCACCCAAATCCTTCACCAGTTCAAGAAGATCTAGATGCTCCGCCTTCAGGTCGACCGGGTCATCTCCGCCACCAGTTCCGACGACTGCGACGACTCAAACTGGACGACTGCGACGACTCTTTCATTAGCTTACTCAGATCCATCATCAAATTCCTTCACCACCTCGTTTCCCAGAGCAAGCCTCTCCGAACCCGACCCGATCTCAAAACTCGACCACCCAAATCCTTCACCAGTTCAAGAAGATCTGGAGCCTCCAAATCGATATTCGGTTACAAAAAAGCACGATGATTAGATGGAAGACATAAGTGAAAGGTGGGTTGAGGGTTCTATTTTTGGGAAGAGATGACGGAAGAAGAAGGGTTGAGTTCTGTATTTGGGATGACACAAGTGAAAGGAGGTGAGGGGGAGATGGGGTAAAAGGAAGAAGAATAGGTTTTGGGGGGGGGGGGGAGGCGTTGGTCTAGCTCAAAGCAAGGAAGAATGTATTCTCCTTGCATTTTTCTTTCAATATCTTTTTTTTAAATATTACACGTGTCTAATTTTTTATTGCAAATAATACGTGGCATTTTTTAATTGATTCATTTTACACGTCATTGGCAAGTGTAACTCACGCTCATGGTGTGTTGCACTCGAGTGTTTACTTGATACATTTAATAGCCACTTGAAGTGTCTAAATGGTAAATGGATCAATTGAAGTGTTTGTATGATCGTTGAGGACAACTTAAAGGGGCCATTTATGTATTTCGCCAAAATTCTACTGCATTCACACGTTATATATATAATAGATGGTGGGTTACTGCTGCTTCCCCGCACCGTGTGCGGATAAATTTTTGCACAACCAAGGTCCCATTCAACATCACAGCACATGTTCGTACTCTTTTCATAAACCAAAATCTTAAGTTTAGAGCATAGACCATGCTAACAGACAAATTTTAGAAAATAAAAAAAAACTGCAATGACTTCACAGGACATACTTCACATTGAAACACATTAGACAAATCACCTGGCGTTGTTATTTCTACTGAATGTGAGCATTAATCTCTCAAAGCCTTTCCCAATTCATTGACCACTTATCCTGAGTGCACTAATACAGCATAATCCTAATATTCTCAAAACCTACAATTCAGGATAAGTGCACTAATACAGCATAATCCTAATATTATCAAAACCTACAATTTCAATCAGCGACCACATTTCATATATAGATTTCAACATCTTATACGACACAGCTCCTTGTGCAGTTCATACAAATACAGACCTTTAACAAGTGTAGGCAAGAAACCAAAATTAGACTTGAAGGCATGGAATGCAGACATCAATTGCATGGTCAATGGACCTTATACAGAGAAACGGGAATGGAAGAGGATACAAAAGGACAGCTATATACCAGAATGGGTAGGGTATATGGTATAATGTCTAATCTAGCACATTATGTTCTCATTTACCAAAAAGAAGAGCAGCATTTCAACTTTAGCTTTCGAAATCACCCTTTTAACTGCCACAATTGCACTCGGTATCAAAGAAAAGAACATACAAAATAGATCTCGGCTTTGTAAATTGTAAATTTATCTTCCAAAGTCATTCCTCAATTAACTGCCACAAGTACTTTTGGTATAAAAAATGAGCTAACAAGAACTCTAATATCATCAATACCAAGAATGAATACTAGCAGATATTAGCCCCAGAAAGCAGGACAAAAAACGAGCAGCGGAAATTGTGTTGCAGCGAGAAAAGCATTGACAGCAAACACATGGATTGATTATCAGCAATGCATAATAACAAAATTCAGATACAGGCTCATGTCCCATTCTGCTTTTTCAGCCAAGAAAATGGACTTTACATATTTTTTCCCAACCGAAACTTCACTAGATCAAGCATCATAGTTGCGCTTCTTAATCAAGACCATTTAGGCCAGATTAAACTTGACAACAACCATACTAAAGTATGCGCCTCAAGTATTGCACAAACTTTATTATTTTTGTTTTGCCAAAAGAAAATTTTGTCATAAAACTTGCCAATTTGCAAACTAACCACTTGCCTAATAAATACTATTCAGATACAAACATTGACACCACCTTAATTAAACTATTTTATGCATCTAACATGAACTGTCAGTACTCAGTAGTCACAAAAAGCAGACAAAGCACATTAACATGGCAATCCGAAATAAATAAGCGATATGGCAATAGCATAAAACCACAAAATGAGCATAACATGACACTACACACTATGGCACGAGATTCGTAAGGTAATATCTCACCCAATTGAGCAAGAGAAAAAGCATAGCAATATCCAAATGTATTACAAGATAAAAAACCCAGTAATCTCAAGTTTAAACATCCATTAATAATCAAAAACAAAACTGAAAGTAACTACTACGCCTTAATCCAAACATCAAAAACTACTAAGAATAAGCAAACCTAAGCGGTGAGCACAACAGCACCACCAGCCTCCTTAATCTTCTTCTCAGCATTCTTTGATATGAGCTTAGCCTTCACCACCACAGCCTGGTTTTCGGGCAAAACACCTTTACCCAAAACCTTAAAGTAACCGTACTGGGTAACATCAATCAAAGGAGCAGTGCCGTTGCTGCTCTTAGCCTTGTCCTTCACCTCTTGAGGAACAAGTGACCAGAGATTGTCGATGTTGATTGTTGGGCAATGGAACTTGTTGCGAAGCTTGTGGAAGTAACGCATACCGACCTTTCCGAAGTAACCAGGATGGTACTTGTCGAAAAGGATACGGTGATGGTGCATACCTCCGGCGTTACCGCGACCACCTGGATGCTTCCTGTGCTTACCGACACGACCGTGTCCGGCGCTGACGTGGCCCCGCTTCTTCCTGTTCTTCTTGAATCGGGTCGTCATTTCTGCGTCGGCTGCGAGAGAGGGAAAGGGGATAGGGAATGGGGAACTAGGTAAAGAGCCCTAGAGGAGTGTGACGAGTTTAGGGTTTCAGATATTTATAGATTGAAGAAATATTATGGGCTTGGGCCTGGCGAAGATTTAGCTATTTTCGGTTATGACAGTTCTGTATATAGAGAGAAACCGAATATTTTGGGCTTGGGCCTGCTATCCCCAGACGTGTTATGTTTTCCAATTTTATGTGTTTTCTTCTTCTGAAATTGAGTTTCTCTTTGTACAAGAAAACCGATAAGATTGCACCGAATCGATAATTCGAATTAAATCGTAAACAAATTTGATTGTGATTTTATTAGTTTGGTTTGGTTTATAGATTTAATCCGACACTATTGATTTGATTTGGTTTGCTAATTGAAAAATCTGAATCAACCCGAACTATGTACACCCCTGCTCTTTCCGAATTAGAATTTTCTATTACTCTTCTTGAGGGTCAATTTTCAGTCGAAAAATAAAATAAGCTAATTATTGTAGTATGTGAAATACTAAGGGATTCATACTATTATATAGTAATAGACCAATGCATGTAACCTTAAAGAACTATTAAGCAAAATATTCGTATATATCAGCATAGTAATCAATCCACGTTTTCTTGAAGTTTCACCTTGTGTTTTCATTACATAGTAAGTGTTGGTGATGATTTGCTTCTGAACGACTTAACGAGTTAAGAAAGTACTCCAGTTTATTTGATTTTACTCAGAAGATTGTTGTCCAGTTGACATGTCCATACATGTTATACTATCTACTTGTTTGCTGATTTTATGTACTATGATATTTGGTACTGACTGCTGAGGTTCGCTTCCAACTTTAAGTAACAACTATGCACTTATGTTATAAAGTGAATATTGATTTTTTAGGCTAGGAGAAAATCCCATACTTGAATTAGAAGGAACACCTAACAGCATAATATTACTCTTTCTGCAAAAAAACTATGTTAACTCCATTTGCATAACCACATTCATAAAACATGTCAACATAATGAACCAATTCGACAACGACTATAAAGGAAACATGTTAGCTTCTCCCCATTAATTAAATAAATCAATCAACTAGCAAGAACATTTTTCGTTCTAAACTGAACAGAATACAGTAACCCAAGACCCATGGATTTTAGAAACTAGTATACATAGTCCTATATGTATATAGCATCCTCTATTGGAGTAGGCACAGTAACTACCAAGGCCTTCTACCAAGAGGAATTACGTTGGATCCAGACTTCTGGTCCCGGTTTCCAAAGCCACCTCGTCCTCTAGACCGGAAATTGCTCCCTGTAGCAAGAAAAGCAAAATCCAAATAAAATCGACTACTAACCTTTATTCTCATGTTAACAAGTTGGACTAATATACAGAATAGATTTAAAAGCTGAGTTTTTAAACACAAACCTCCAGTGCTGTGAGCAGTAGACCCTGCCAATGCAGAAAGTTGAGGTGGAACAATTTGCCCTGCCTGCTGAAGGATCTTAATAAGCTGTCGGGTATACTTGGCATTTGCATGGGTGAAAAATGTAAATGCAGTTCCCGTGGCACCTGCACGTCCAGTTCTGCCAATCCTATGAATATAATCCTCAAGACTTGAAGGGAAATCATAGTTGACAACACACTTTATGTCCTTAACATCTGCATCAAATCAAACAATAACTCCAGTTACACCCAACTGGTGAAAAAAGTACAACATAACTTGCAACCTTATCCCTGCAGTACTGAGATCCAAGTGATCGTATGTAAGATATAACACATTCCTTACATAAATGTGCCCACCTTAACCTGGCAGGGATAAGGAGCAGCTCCACCACAACTTCCAAAATCAAATCCAGTGACACGATAATCTTGCATGAGTCTACCGGGCTGTCAGGGCAACCAGCTCCAAAACTGTGGATGGGCAACGTTAACCTCAACTTTACTTTAGACAAAATGACTTGAGACATACCCTTTGTGGAAAAAGTCTAGGAAATTCAACAAAAGCCGCCTCCCTAAGCTTAAAATTCCTAAAATATAACAAATGGATCTTCACTAATTGCACCATGAAGTTTAACACCTTCATTTGACACCTATTTTTCACTATACCAGTTCCCATTTTCCTTCTAATACCTATTTTTCACAACGGCAGTTGGCAATATTTTAAAAACCAACATCAATTCAGCTCGAAGAGAAAACATATCCCCTTTATACCCACCACCAAACTTTCTAATGTAGAAAAGAACAATTGGCCATTCATTCAGCTTGAATGCTCAAATGCTCCACTGATTAGCAGGGTAGGGTGCAGGGTGCTGCAATAATACTAGGTCCCTATAGTATCATTACCACCCAACAACTTTCTAAGTGTAGATAGAAACACAATCAGCCATCCAATTAGCTTGTGTGCTTTAAGGATGGGGTGACGAGTGTAATACTCACAAGTGCCTGTATTATGAATTAAAATTTCAATTTCCACTAACTACAATGTAAAAATTTCAAGTAAGCCCACATATGTAAAAGAAGCTGTACACCTAATTTTACCAAGGAAATGAAGCAATGCGACCTTCGCCCCATCATCGGCTCTCTTTTTTTAAGAGATCTCACAGGTTTCCTATTCTGAGGATAAGATATAGGGGCAAATCAGAAGAACACAAGCTATAAATTTTTTGTGTGATGCTTTGTCAACAGACATTAAACATTTTTCGATAAGGATGCTATGCCATAAGACATTAAACATAACTTGAAATTGTATGACAAACTAAGAAGGCTGCATAAACAAACTCCACTAATGAGAATAGGACTCCCTCCATACAGCCTGTATAACTTTCTTTTAAACCCAGGTTGCCTCAAACTGATTGACCCCTATCTAAAAACTTTAGCATTTACCAACAACCGCAAATCAAGGCAATCTTATCATTGACCTTGATTGGAAACCTCTTTCAGCACTATACTTTCCAATATATCCCAACTTGAAAAATGTATTCGGATAGTCCAAATTAATGTCCGACCTCTGGTTTCCTTGTGACCAAACTATCAAATGCAGACCAGAAAAGGGAAGTTAAGACGTGCTACTAAACCAAAATTTTTACAATGGGGACATTCTTACAGCTCTACGAGGGATTCCTCTCCTTTAGAAGTGTGTGAAAACATTCAAATTCCCCTACATTATTACATCATCATAGTGCTCACTGTAAGAGCGGATTCTCCTATTTAAAGATCCCTCCAATTTTTGAGATTACTGAAGAGTTGGTCACATAATACGTTAAGGGATTACTATTAAGTTTCTGCATTTAATTCAACTAATTGTTCTGATATTGACAGTTCCGAGAAATCCTATCTTCTCCTGCTCAACTGAGCAAAAATATTGTTTCTCTGTTATTGTGGTTAACGCGCCCCTAAATGCATCCCAAACCTATGTACCCAAACCACAGATTACTAACCCAGGAAAGTTGACAGCAGCCGGAGACTCGTTTCCTCTAGTGTGAAAGACCTAAATGGACAGACTAAAAAATCGTAATCCTAAACATTATTGATCCTACCAAGACCACGTGCAGCAACATCAGTGGCAATCATTATGGGACTTCTGCCATTTTTGAATTCAGCCAGGACCCAATCCCTCTCATCCTGGCTTTTATCGCCATGGATGGATAAAGCTGGCCATCCATCCATTCTCAACTGTCTTGTCACTTGATCACATCCTTTCTTTGTTTCTACAAATATTAGGATTCTGCTTCCATCCATCATTTCTTTCAAAAGCCCAATCAACCTGTGAAATCATAAAACCATGACCATGAGCAATCAAGTTTGAAGAGGGAAATCATAGAATAACATGTGGGTGGCTATTAAATCACACCTTCTATACTTCTCTAAATCTGTGACAACTTCAACGATTTGCCTTATGGATTGATTTGCTTTCAAGTCTGGAGACCCAATGATGACCTGACAATTTAAGCATGTTTAAACACATTGCAAAACATCTTTAAAAACAGTGATGTTACTTGTGATGCACTTGTATGTTAACACACTATAAAGTCAATGCATTATAATATGGCATCACTGCTTACTTCTACTTACCTTATAGGGATTGCGTAGAAACTGCCTAGCCAGGCTTTCAACCTCTTTGGGCCAAGTCGCACTCCAATACAAGGTTTGTCTATCTGGTCTAATCTGTAGCATCATGAAGAAATATTTTCAACCTCAGACTCTGAGCTTCTCCTAGAGGACTTTGCCATGCAATAATTCAATCACAACCAATAACGAAACAGAATACGACCAAGACAAAATACATCATCACAACAACAACAACCACAACCCAGTGAAATCCCACAAGTGGGGTCCGGGGAGGGTAGTGAGTACGCAGACCTTACCCCTACCCCAAGGAATAGGGGTAATTCGAGGCTATTTCGTTCAGATTCTAATTTAAGAAATAGATAATACATTTTCAACCCCTTTTGAGCAAAAACATAGATAATTAGAGGGTTCGAGAAACAGCAGAACAAAATTAGTGCACAGTCAAACAAATAGGGAGAAACGAACATATCCTTATGAAAGATCCATCTTTCACCGCAGAGCCATAGAAATGCAGAAGTTCAGCATGCCATGTACGGTTAAATCCTGCATTAAGTTAGATGAGAAGACCAGAAGCCATCTGATACCAGCCCATCAACCAGGCAATGTCCGGGAAGATAACGATGGAATTTTTGCCAAATTTTAAAGCAAACGGCAGAGCTGACTACTTCCATCAAAATACCTCTAAACTCCATTGCATTGATAACTATACTATTAAAACCTCTTCAATGACTTGGAAAAGAAAAGTTACATGAACGTGTTGAGTATCTCCAGTCCATTACCCCTATTTATCAACAACAACAAAAAAAGTAGAATCTCCCTTACCCCTTCAAAATTTAAAATATTCAATGCTCCCCGAAATTTAGCTATCAGGAAAATTTCCATATTTAAGGAGCAAAATCAAGCATGTAAGAAACTCAGTCGAGAAACCTCTGTCTCTCACATATTATTCATGGTTAGTAACATCCACAGACTAAGTCAAACAAAAAGATAATCATTATGCAAGTTGAGTAATTGTAGCTGCCTGGCTGCAGGATAGCCCAAAATAATATCCTTACTTTCCACTACAGTGGACGAACATGATGAAGTATTGACACAGATGAGGGCCCAAAATGATATTGTACGAAATTACAGATTGTTGTGCAACTAAAATCATAAAGGAAAAAAGAAAGAAATGAATATGCATGCCTGGGAAATTATTTTCCTGATTTGAGGCTCAAACCCCATATCCAGCATTCGATCAGCCTCGTCCAGTACGAGATAAGTCACTCTTTTCAAGTTTGTATGTTGAGCTTCCAGCATATCTATTAACCGACCAGGGGTTGCAATCACAATTTCAACTCCTGATATGAAGTTTCACGTTTTAAAACCAGTTCGGCAAAAAAGGATTCAAAACAAACAAGTTAGAAACAAACAAAGAAACAGAAAACCTCTTTTAAGATCACGGATTTGAGGTCCTTTTGGGGCACCACCATAAATGCAAGTACTGCTAATGTTGGCACGCGATCCAAATTTGACAGCTTCTTTTTGAATCTGAACAGCCAATTCTCTCGTAGGTGCTAATACTAGCACGATTGGGCCATCACCATGAGCTGGATTTGTGAGGGAGAAAAGATCAAGATGGAGCCAGTCAATAAAAAGCAGCAAGCCAGTCTACACAATCAAAAACAAACAGGAAACACCATACTAACCCAACCGTTGTGCGCGGACATGGACCAAAGCCGGCAATAGATATGCCAAAGTCTTCCCAGAACCAGTTTCAGCAATCCCTATTAAGTCTCTGCCCTTTAAAGCCATTGGCCATCCTTGTGATTGGATAGGTGTTGGCTCAACAAATCCTAATCTTGAAATAACCTCGAGGCAATAATCTAGCACACTAATTCAATCAGACAAATTTCAAAAGATTTAGCTAAATCATCAATACATTTAGGTCTCCAGAAGTAATACCAGGAAAGTTTGCCTCATGGAACATCTGAATTGGCCTAGGGACATCATGGCCTTCAACAGTAATCTCACGCCGTGCACGATAAAGAGCAACATCCTCTTCAGTCATTGCCCTCACAGAGTGATGTTCAACATAAAAATTCTTCTCGAAGGGTACCAAGTTTCCGAAGTCTGCCTTTGGAAGAGTAAGGTTGTCTAGATCATCTCGCGAGCTCCCATGCCTACCTCCTCCTCTCCCACCACGGCCTCCATCCGAACTAAACCTTCCACCTCCACGTCCACCACTGTAGCCTCCATCAAAATCCCTACCTCCTCTCCCACCACTCCTACTTCCAGTGTTGTTTGACCCCGCACCAAATCGCCCAGGCCGGTCTCCCATACCACCGTTAGCCACTCTGTCACCTCCAAAGCCACTGTCCCGGCCCATACCAGCCCCTCTTGAAAAACCACCTTCAAAAGGTGAATACCCATTGAACCCGCCACCAACAGGTCCAGATCTACCTATTCCACTACCCCCTCTAGCACCAGAGTCCATAGGCGGTGCTTGAGGACCGCCATAAGGAAGGGGCTCACCACGACCGTAGCTAGCCGCAGCTCCACCAGGCATAGGCCGAGAATATATATGAGGTGGACCCACTAGATCACTGCAATCGGAGAAACACAAGCAAATAGTGAATACCCCCAATCACAAGATTCAAACTTTATTGCCAACAGAGTTTCTATGCTTGTATAGTTTATGCAGAAACATAATACTCCTGCGTATAAATTACGAAGTGAATGTGTACNCACGTCTTCTAGCTCGTGGTCTCGTCACCAGGGAGCCTCCTTCATCCTCTTTTTCTGAGTCTTCTTCTTCAGTAGCTTTTCTTTTTGCAGAAGAAGAACCCAAGATTATTTCTCGGGCTGAAGAGGTACGAGTACCCAAAGAGTCACGAGAGGCCGCAACTGCCTCAGCAGTAACCCTTCGAATAGCAAATCCTGATAAAAAGAAGGATAAAAGTTAGAACAATAAAAGAAAATATTTATATACGTGAAAGATAAAATAAAAACTCTTCCCATGAGTCTTTACTTTCCAACCGTAACGGTTGGAAAGGTTTTTCCATGACCTACCCTCCATTGGAGCGGCCCTTAATAATTTTTTTACCCAACCACGAAAGTTGGGCACATTCTCCACAATGCCCATGGTTGCTGAGAAAAGAAAAAAAGCGACATTAGAGAAATTAATAAGCTTGAAAGAAAAAGGCACGAGAAAGATATAACACTTACGTGCAAAGTTCCACTTCTCAGGGAAGGGAACGTTATCTTCACCCACTAAACCAGCAGTGGGGGCAGCAACAAACCGAGCATACCAGCCACGGTCTTTATCATCTTCGGGGCTCACTAAAACCCTCTTGCTCCTGGCTGCTAGGGTAAAAACGCCATTACGGAAAAGCCTAGGGGAGTAGAGGTGAATTAGGTGGGGGAAAGTAAAGCCAACATCTGCCAAGTTGGCGAGGTGCCTCAAACAGGCGACAACCCTCCATACAATTTGACCGATTTGACCCAAACAAACGTTGAAAAAACGGCAAAAATTTAGAATGACCGGGTCAATGGCTGGTTTGAACCCTAGAGTAAAAGGGTATGTATAAACAAAAGAGAATCCAATCATGTACGAAGTGATTCTCTGATTTGGATTAGGAATGATAATGGGAAAATCATCACTCCAGTGACAGTCCTTACGAACTATAGGAGCTAGAATTTCTGTAATTTGAGTGGGGAAAGCATTGGCACGTTCTAAAGTGGCAACTTGGTTCCTAAGAGATTCCCTATCATGATGAAAAGATAGTTCTGTTGGGACTATCTCTTCAACTAAAGGCTCACGTAAAGGTTCAGAGGGTTCTTTGTTCCTAGAAGAAGACCTTTGAGAAAGGGAACCTCTAGTTCTAGAAAAGGGACCAGAACTAGGAGAAGGCGTGGATGTGCTACCACCGCGAGCAGACCCTAAGCTAGGAAGTCTACCACCTCTTCTATGCCTAATGGGAGCATTGGGGAAGTTATCTAAAATAGAAGTTCTCCTAGGGTTAGGGTTTGATGAAGTCATGGCGAAGAAGATTGAAGTGAAGAAGAAGTGAATAGAGATTTGAAGAATTGAAGTGTTCAATACGCTTTATGTGGTAAAAGACAAGAAAAGAAGTTATATTTATTCTGATGGACAACCGGCAAAAAGAAAAAGTACAATGATGGAAGGACCATAATAATGATAACTGACACTTCGTGAACAGGGAAGCCGAAAAGAAAGCCTAAGAAAGTGCTGCAAAACTGTAGAGCTAATAAGAGGATGACACGTGTAAAAACGCATTAAATGGAAGTGACAATTGAAGCGTCAATTTTGTCAGAGCATTAATGGTGACAAAAATTCTCTTTTAATGAAATCCACTTCTCAAATATTCAACTGATGAATAAATGAAAAGTGGGGGGACTATCTGTATTGGGAAAAATTATATTTATATATAAAGGTGACGTGTCAAGACACGTGGATTAGTCAAATGGTCAAAGAATCGCAATTAACCACGAGTAAGGAGTTACAACAGATACGACCAGGGAAAGAGGAAGAGGTACGGGACATCAAACAAGTAACACGGCGCCCGTACCTATTTAAGTCATTTATATCCGAGAATCAGAAGGAATGAATCTGACAGCATACGAGGATCCAAATACAATATTTGATAAGTATTAAATGCTGAAAACGTTAGAGAATCTGTCTTAAATGTAATGATTATGTAACGTAGCATTCAATGTCATTTATTGCCCATAATAACCTTATTATGACCAAAGCAAGGCACTTACATCTAAGATAGCTATAAAAGGAGAAGACTGAACAATTGTAGAGACACGAAAAATCATCTGAATATACTTTGGTTTACTTGCTTTATTCAATTATATTCTGGCTATTCAAATTATTCTCTTTTATATATTATTGAGATTATCAATAACCCGTGTTCTTCTAAAATATAGCTTTAATCAAAATTCCATTTTTTGGTTAAGCAATAATTCCGACCGCGGGCTAAAATTGGTCTTTGCCCGATTCTTACAGTTGACGTTAACAGAAATAATTAAATTAGTATTCAAAAGTTATAACATGACTACGAATAAAAACCTGTGCTTCCAGTCATTATAGAGACAGTTTATAGATGCAAAACATTAACTCTAAATGTAATTGCTGACTATAAGTAGTTGGCAAAAAGATGAAGAAATTAAACAGAAGATGAAAGAATCTTGAATGAATCCTTCCTGCTCTCGTTTTCACATTTTTCAGCAAATTGAAATTTCCAACTTAAGTGCCACATATTTCGTTCTCCATTTTCAAGTTTACGAATTTTAAAACTAATGAGTTTTGTTATGAACTTTGTAAAGTCAAGCTAGGTGCATAAAGTCCAACGATTAGGTACATATGTAAATGTGAGGATGACTTCGGGTGTCTGTGAAAGAAGGAAAAAAAAAAGGAAAGAGAGAAACGTAATTTATGACATGAAGATGAGAAATTGCAGAATCTGAATATTTTGAAAAATAACTTCAATTAATATTATGTTAGCGCTATTAACTTATTAGAAATTAAATCGTCGAGACTTGCAAAATTACTTGATTAAATACATAAAAATAATGATCTTCGTTCACTTCTTTCCTTATTTTTACATGTAATTTATTATTATTGCATTATTTATAACACAATAATTATTTGTTAAAAGAAAAAAAAAACTACACATGCTTGCATGTGGGATTAACATCATGGCTTCTACACTAAGGGGTCGTTTGGCTGGAAACAAACTATCACAGGACTAATTATCTCGAGATTAGCTATCCAACTTTTTATGGGGATTAAAAAATACAATCTCGGGATAACTAATCTGGGGATTAATTATACCGCAATTTTCTACCAACCAAACATGGGATAAACTCTTCTTAAATTTAGTCATGGGATTAATTTATTCCTTATCCCTCATATATACCACACGAGCCCTAAGGGGTCGTGGTGGGATATGTTGGAAAAATTGAATGATTATGGAGAATAAAAGGTTAGCTTGAGGCGTGTCAAAGACACTGTCCTTAAGGATATTTCCCCCACACCGAAATGAATAATATTAGGCGTATCCCCCAGGATTCAACAAGCTCTTCTAGTATAACTAGGAGCAGAAACAACAAAGATTAATCAAAATAAACCCAGCAAAATAGAAGATAATTAGAAGGAAAGTCTTTTCTTCTTTCTTTTCTCTCTTATCAAGATGTAAAAATAAAGAGTATAAATAGTGCAATAGAAAATGCACAATCTGATCGAATTGTCTAAGCCATAAGCTTTTCAAAGCTTATAAAACGTTCAAATTCAAACGTTAAAATTTAAAGACATTAAGGTTGTAAAATGCTTAATTATTCTTTCAACAACAGTAACGTCTACCCACTAATGAGCATTCAATAATCAGTTTTATTTTGTCCCAATTTAATTCAAAATCAAACTAATTTTCTGTTACAGATATATTTANGCTCATGGTCGCAAAAGAGAATTAGGGTTTACGGATTTGAAAGATGAATGGGAGGCAAAGAAACTGGATTTTCCTCTTTAATCGTCTTTCCTTTATGTATGTATTTCTGTCTCACAAATGTATAGGAGATATTTTCTCAATATTTGTTAAAGTCGGTAATAGTTTTATTCTACTGGAGTACCTTTTTTCTTTTTTATTGTAGTTTTCTCTTGAGATTCCTGAGTTCCTTCTCGTGTTTTATTTTTTATTTTATTTTTTTGGGGTCAACAAAAGATTTGTCTCTATTAATCAAGGAGCAGTGTTACAGGGAGGTGGTGGTACATTGTTACAAAAAGAGTCTAATACATATTCTAAACCACTTGAGGCGGTTGCACTACTTTGCATACAAAAAGTTGCACTAATTGGCATACAAAAAGATGGGGTAATAGCAGTGTATGGAACGCATCTACGCGTTGGTGTTTCCTGCTGATCATTCCGTAATTGGTATTCCAAAAAGGCCGGTGGATGCTGGATAATACTAAGTGAGTTGGGCTCCCCCAGTTGGTGCAGCAAGTACATGCATTCATGCGAGATAAATGAGTAATGTTGATTATGATATCGTAGTGCAAAAATTATCTCTATCGCATCCATTTTGATTTCCTGTGGTGTTAAACTATAACGTAGAGCAATTTGTAATCCTTCCAGCAAAGCACATAGCTCCATAGATAGAGGGAGTGTATGAGGTTCTGTTACCCGCAAAACATATGATCCAATCACCCGTGGAATTACGAAAGACTCCACCAAATCCATTCAGTGTTGTAGTTCCAGTAGATGCACCTGTATTGGGAAAAATTATATTTATATGTAAAGGTGACGATCAAGACACGTGGATTGGTCAAATGGTCAAAGAATTGCAATTAGCTAAGAGTCATGAGTTACAACAGATACGAGCAAAGAAAGAGGAAGAGGCACGGGACATCAGACAAGTAACACGGCGCCCGTACCTATTTAAGTCATTTATAACCGAGAATCAGAAGGAATGAATCTGACAATAGAAAAGAGTGCAGATACGGCATTTAATGAGCATTAAATGCTGAATACGTTAGAGAATATATTTTGAATGTAATAATTGTGTAACGTAGCATTCAATGTCTTTAATTACTCATAATAGCCTCATTATGATTTGAGC